AAACTTTACATCTATATTTCGTGCTTAGTGAAAGTATGGATAACTTTAGGTATATTTACAATGCCCATTTTTAGTCTTTATCCTATCTCCCATGGTATTTAGTCAAATCAGCTGAAACTGTTTATTTTTCTGTCCGCTTAACAAAATTCAGTTGAATCGAGTAACGCTTGTAAATCTGTTTTCTTCTTCTGTTGTTATTAGTGAGACATGTATTAAGTCATAACATTATCAATAAAGATGAGCAATTTTTATGAAAAAACCGAATTTCAAAAACATTTTCTTCAACGCAAAACACTTTTTTCTTGAGTGAACACTACCAAAAAAACTGTTAAAGAAAACTGACTTTTTTAGATACGAAATCATCGTTGATAGCGAATATCTGTTTTTTAACAATGGCATGGCTCAAACCCATAGTGTTAATGAAAGAGCACATCGGATACCCAAACATGTCTTTTCTGAAAAATTGATTTATTGACAGCGCTGGATTTTTTTAGTAGCCTTAATCACAGTTTTAGCTATTTTTGACTTCTCTTTTCATCCACTTGCAAGTAATACGCATAGCTTGCAACTGGTAAAATCATGGATTGGTCTCTTCAACTTCAGACTATGCAACACTTAAATAGGTGTCTAGTTATCAACTTAAAATCTTCACTTTCATTCCAACTCGGTTCCATTTTTTTTTACAGAACCACAGGGTTCTAATAGCATGGTCTTAAGTGAATACGACATACTAATTTCGATAAGTTTGGGAAAAGTTTTTCATATTTTCACCAAAATAATAATAGATTGAAATAATTTTTCTCTTCATCCACTTTGAAATCGATATAAATATCGACTTCCTGCTTTACATAGTAAAAAAATCCATTTACAAAAAAATATTTAATTTTCTATATATCTTACATAGATTGTTCTTAATAGAAACATTTTTTCGCATGCTGTGTGAATTAGGAACAATGCTTCTAATACGAATAAATTCAACTAATCGCAAACTATCGCTAATTACTCATTTAATTTTCAAGATAATTGAATAAGTTTTGCATCATTCGATTCAGCAGACATTTGTTCTACTTATAATATAAACATTTTCTTTAAAGTTGTCTTAAAAAAAGAAAACCTTCGAGTCTCCAAGAAAGCTGCTCCTATTACGAAAACTCACTTTATACTCGAATATTTGAAAAATGAAGAGTAAGTTTGAAAAACAGTACAAAAAAAGTTGAACAAGCTTGCTGCCCAGGTTTAAATCTACGATCGTATGTACAAAAATACGACGAACATGTATTTTCTCGTATATAGTAAGATATCTCGATAATGTTACATAGAGGGTGCCCACTAAGTATTAACCCACTTAATCAATAAATTTATTGATTAAGTGGGTTAAAACTTAGTGAACATCCTTTATGTGTTACTTCTTGTTACAAATTATTTATTTCTTTTCTCTTTTCCGCTTTACATAATCTTCATGCAATATGCTTTCTAATTATTAACAATGAGCTAACTAGAGTCTTCCTATATCGTCTTTTTTTTAATGAAAAATGCCGATAACCGGTAGTTCGAAAGAAAACGGTCAGTTGACCGGAGTTGAGCGATAGTCCAAACTCAAACAGGCAGTCAACTGAAGTGAATCCAAGGTTTTGTTCAATTACTGTTACTAATTATAATTTATAAAAACAATTAACCGCAAACATATTCATAATACTGAAAGAGCATCAGTTATCATAAGAAGATTTATTGTATATTTTTTTTTTCGATCCACGCATCACTTTTCTAGTTAACAGATATTTTGTTGTGTGTAAATAGAGGTCCATACTATTCTTTCATTAATAGGATAGATTTTTTATGTGCCCATTCATCCTATACCCTATTTTTGCCTATATATATATGTTATAAAATGCATCCAGCACACGCATAAGAAAGTCTACGTTTTACTAAACCTTTTTATTGCACTTAAATTTCGCTCAGTTGAGATGTTAGAAGTAATCTTCGAACTTTTGAACTAATTGCAGCTCGATTTCACTTTTTCTGATTAAGTATAAGGCATTCATACCCAGTAGTAGCTTGACTTTTCAATGTGTCTGTTTCAGATATGCACCAAAAGATAATAATTCCAATCCTGCGAGTAACCGTCATAACTGATACTCAACGAGTTTAATTTAACTACTGTTTTTATTTAGGTTTGGTCCAACAACTTATCGAAATATAAATATCAATGGATTAAAAATAAAAAAATGTATACTTTGTATAGATGGTTTTGTAATCGATTTTTACCCTTTAGTATATCTATAATTTATGCGATTTTATCCATATTAGCTTCATTTCTCTTGTTATATTCAGGATTTCTTATTATACATTTAAATTAATGAAATTTTTTATTGAAAAATTTAGTGCTTACATTATGTTACATAAACAAAATATATAGCCTGAGCGAAAAAAAAAATAACACGACATGCAATTTTACATAGTTAAACGAGAATAGACGGGAAAAAAAGGAAAAATAATAAAATGTCCGTGCGTGGAAATCGATGTTAATTGATTTTTTTCTCGAATAGCACCTTGCATATTTGTTTTTGTTCATACATTAAAAATATAAAAGAAAAATGATGAATTAAAATTCTAAATGAAAATCAAAACTACGTACGATGATGACAAAAGAAGACATTATCCTATAAAAGAATGATTCAACTTTATATTAGGCAGAGATTAATAGAATCATTTAAAACTGAATCTACGACAAAAAATTATTCTGATTGAAGTACAATACTTAGTCTGAAAACATATCTAGGATAAACTATCTATTATCAACAAAAAATGTTTTAAAACAAATGAATGTGAGTGAGAAATTTAATTTCATTTGATCCGTTTTTAAAATTGTCCAATCTCGTAAATATCACATTATTGCGATTTTTGCGCTGTTTTTTTTCCTTCTGAAATCGCGACGATTTTCACGATATGAGATAGCTTTATTGATTTCTAATTGCCCACTGCTATTCATTTCTGAAAATAAGTTAGTTGGATAGCGGCCTATGACTTAAAAACTCCTGGCTACGCCACCTACTGACTAATCTAACATATTAGCAAAGATAAAATGAAATAAATTGATTTCAACATGAGATAAATGATCGATTTTGATAATTGATTATAAATTATTGAACTAATTCAGAAAATATTTCAACTTTTACTAACTAAAAGTCAAATATAATTACTATACAATTATTTATCATAATTATGAAGATTTGAAATTAAAAGAACGATTTCATTTCGACATGAATATCATTAGTGTGAAATGAAAAAGACTGGACAATTTTAAGAGACGATCGAACTTAACCTCTTTTTATATTCGTGCGTGTCAAAAGATTTCTTTAGATAATAGATAGTTTATTTTACATATATTTTTAGCTCAAATATTTTTTCAATTAGAAATTTGTTTATATAGTTCTAGTTTTAAATAATTTAATATATCTACGATATATGTAAATCGGAAAAATTTGACTTTTTTCTATGTAACGATGACGTCTATCATCATCATCGTATATAGTTTTATGCTTGACGTTTAGAATTTTTATTTATTTTCTTTTTCTTTGACTTTTAATTTATGAACAAAAACAAATACATGTAGAATCTCTGTCAAAGAAAATTCAATTTAAATATCAATTACTTCATATGAACTTTTCATTATATTTTTTTTTTCATTTTTCTTCAAATATTCTGTCGTCTAACTATGTAAAACTGCATAATACGTTTTTATTTTTGTTTTTATTACATAATTCGTTCATATAAAATAATATAAGCCTTCAATTTTTAATAAAAATATTCGTGAAATGAAATCAATATTAACAAGTTTTGCATGTGTTAAGAAAAACTAAGTATATATGTATAAAATCACGATTTATTGCAAAAGCCGTCAAAATAATCGATAAAAATCGGCGATTTTATCGCGATTCAGTGCATGATTATCATTTCGATAAATCGTCAGTTTTTTTACCGATTTTAAGGGTAAGTTAAGTATATTTTCAAGTGTATTGCTACATAAAATAAATTCTTCTTAATCAAGAACGTTGTTTTCTTAAGATTTTAATCATTAAAAAGTTCATATAATGAGAAGAATAAGTTTAATATCTAATTTGACAAATGAAACGAGTGCAAAATGAAGATTTTATCAATAGAAAAGAAACATCAAACTCGTGCGGCAAACATATAAAGGATATTTCAAAATAATTGATAATAAATTATTAATGATATTTTTATACTTTTTTTGATGGACATATCTGAAATTTTTATCGCATATAAACCTAATCAAGATCTATTATTTATGAAAATTTCAGCTTTCTAGGTTAACTGACAGTGAAATACATCGACAAGATTGAAAAATATATATTTTCGTACTCGTTTTGCGCATTTTATTTTGACAGTAAAAATAATGAAAAAATCGAGTAGGAAAATTTATGTATTTCAGTCTTCTCAGTATAGTTCACTGCTAGTTATGACTAGACGATTGAAACTTTCAGAAATAATAGATCTTGATCAGATATATATGTGATAACAAGTTCAGCTCTGTCCGCAAAAAAAAAATATATATAAAATATCATTAATAATTAATCATCAGTTTTTATGAAACACCCATTATTGCGTTCGTTCTGATAATAATCAATTTGACAGTTTCAAATTTATTTTATAAAACAATCATCATTCGAGACTTAGATATATCAAATACATTTACTTATTATAATCATATATTGATTCAATTCGTTTGTTTGTTTTTTCATTAACATATTTCTTTTATGTTTTTTTTTTCTGCAGATATAGACCTTGCAGTCAGAAGAAAATAAGATAAGTACGACATAATTAAAAAAGCGAGACCAGAACCGGTCATTAAAGAAGAAAAAAACAAGACACACCACTCACTATATATTATACGAAAATACAACGATTAGTTCACAAATCAGTGAAGCCTTTGCTACTGACTAGTTATTACTTGCTTATTTTTATAAGTAAACGAGAAAAAAATGATAGATATTGACGTTATTAAAGAAACTCTTAAAGGAGGCCTGAAGCAATATATGTTTCCAGTGGCATTGATTATGTTTCAATGTATTTTTATTGTATTATATGGTGTACATGCTGATTATGGATTAAGAACCGACAAAGGTCTTAATTCAACGGAAACAATATCGTCTGATAGTCTACCTGCTGTTGGTGATGTTGAATTTTATTATTCATTTTTTCAAGATGTTCATGTGATGATGTTTATTGGTTTTGGTTTTTTAATGACTTTTCTTCGTCGTTATTCATTTTCATCAGTTTCATTTAATTTTTTGATTGCTGCATTTGTTGTTGAATGGGCAATATTAGTTCATGGTTATGTATTTGAATGGAATACTGTAACAAAAACATTTCCAGTTAATGTTAAAATTCTTCTTCAAGCAGATTTTGTTTGTGCAGCTATATTAATATCATTTGGTGCTGTTCTTGGAAAAACAAATCCAGCTCAATTAGTTATACTTGCATTAATTGAAGTTGTTATTCAAGTTTGGAATGAATATATTGGCACGACGATTTTCTGTGTTTATGATGCTGGAGAGTAAATATTTTCTATTTTTATTTAGTTAGAGACATTATAAAATATTTAAAAAAAAAAATCTTTTTCTTTTTTTCTAGATCAATATTTGTTCATGTATTTGGTGCTTATTTTGGCTTAGCTGCATCATATGCTCTTCAACATCGACGAGAAGTTCAATCGGAAAAAGAAAGTTCAAGTTATGCATCTGATATATTTTCAATGATTGGTACATTATTTTTATTTTGTTTTTGGCCATCATTTAATGCAGGTACAGCATATGGAGATGGAAGATTACGTGCTATTGTTAATACATATGTTAGTATAAGTGCATCAGTTATATTAACATTTTGTATATCAGCACTCGTTGGAAAAGGTAAAAAAGAAATAATTCATATACAAAATGCAACATTAGCTGGTGGTGTTGCTGTTGGAACTGTAGCTGATAAAAATATTGGAATATTTGGAGCTATGATTATTGGAAGTATTGCTGGAGCTGTATCAACATTAGGTTATAAATATTTACTTGAGCTATTAAAAAAAATTCGTATTCATGATACATGTGGTGTTCATAATTTACATGGAATGCCAGGAGTTATAGCAGGTTTATCTGGTATTGTTGTTGCTAGTATGCCTTGGAAATCAGTTTATCATGAAAATTTAACATGGAAATGTTTATCAGGAGGTGTACATAGATCAGCTGCAGTTCAAGCTGGATATCAATGTGCTGGTCTTATATTAACATTAGGTATGGCCATTGTTGGAGGACTTTTTACTGGAATTCTTCTTCGTTTACCAATATTTTCTACGCCAGATAATGATTCTTACTTTGATGATAGTCTTAATTGGCATGTTCCACAAGATTTCGTTGCTGAAGATTCAGCATTAGGTTCTTTAATTAAAAATCTTTTACCAAATCAAATGCAACTTGAAGAAAATCCTAAAGAGGCTACATTGATTACACAAACGAATAATCCAAATACAATTGAAGTTATACAAGAGATAACACCTCGACAATCAATTCATACAGTATCTCAACATTCAATTGAATCATCATCTTTACATTTATCAGAATCAAAACTTGATCAAAATAAAGCAACATCGCCTGTTTTGTTTACTCAACGATTATAAAAAACATTAAAAAAAAAAAACGAACAAGCTTTAATTTTTTTTTTTTTTTTTTCATTTTATTCAACTGTTAATTATCTTTTAAATATTTGTAGTTATCTGATTTCTTTCCGCGACTGAAAACCATAAAATATGCGAATAAACAAGTCTATTTCTTCTATTGCTTCGTATTCACAATGAGAGAACGCATCGTCATTAACAGTCTGTATATCTGATTTTGATTTGCACTGATCGTGTATACATCATACTCATCAACTGACGTCAATACGTTTACGAAGAAATTATCTTTTGATATTATAATGAATATCACAGAGAAAAAGCCTCAGGTGTTTTTTAGTTTTAATGAAGAATACGTTGACAGAAAGGGAGATTCGTCGCAAAATAGTTTCAATTGAATGAGACATCGTTCGACCAATCATCTTCTCAAATTCTTAATCAATAATCAATATTTTTATAAATTACATTGAATTAGTATGAGCAATTTTCGATATACTATGACATAAACTTTGTTTTACTTATTTTATAAAAAAAAAAAACAAATAGGCTTTTATTATTTTATATTCAAGTTTAATATAATATAAAAGTAACATTCATTAAGGTTCGATTGACTTTAGTTCTTGATCGAAAGAATAGAGATGTGCATAGACGTACATCGAGATTTAATCATCTATCAAGTCAAATACTAAATAAATATGACAGATCATTTGACATTTAATATCGATTAATTTCATAAAAAGCAAATTTGTCTTCATATAAAACCTAATTTTTTATCTTTATAAAGTCAAATTGATTTTCAATATGCAACATTTATCAAATCAAGTTCAGTTTATGTGTAATTCTATTCATTTTTCTACAGAAAGTTTTTCAAATATTTATTATTGTTGCATTCTTTTAACTCTATTCGTTTTTTGTTCTTTAGTACTGATCGTTAAATTTTTTTTTAAATTTCAAATTATGATTAACTACACTCAATGATATTCGATCATAAATACTAGTATATTCATTTGACAGATTTTATGTTCAAAATTTCAATAATTTCAATAAAAGAATTCATTTTGAAAAAAATCTCGCTTTTCATCATTCAGATTATTCTGCGTCCTTCTTATGTTTTAAATAAAACTTATGTTAAATTTGTATATAAGAAGGCCCAAAAGTAAGACAACACAGTATTTATTCTATACTTTCTCTGTATAAGGTTAGTCAAGTCTCATATTTATATTACATATACTAGGTGCTACTAGTTAAAAATATAGCGTAAGATTAGTCGCTGGATGCAACTATTTATTCAAAAGCGTGCAGGTATATTTTACTCCTCGTCTGTGGCAATAAGATAAATTCGATGTTTTTCGATTTTCATATTTTTTTCTGATTATCTCAATCTGTGAAATGAATATCATTTAATTAATATAGACATCGCTTAAACTAAATAAGTACAAAATGTAATTAAATTGGATCCATTCCACAGATTAGAATAAGCAGGAAAAAAAAATATGAAAACCGAAACACATTGAGTTTCTCTTATAGTCATAGACAAGCAATAAGATTTATTTGTACACTTGCGAATAAATTACTTCACTCAAAGACTGATCATATGCTACATATTTTACTAATATCATCTACTCTCTATTGTGTAAATATATAAGGTCGAATTGAATATGTATTAATAAGTTATCGAAAAAATACAGTGTTCTCCTAGTTTTGGACCATACTGCAGATTTATAAAGATAACATAGAAGTTAATACATATATATATATATATAATTAGTTATATATTGACTATTTCTATTGCAGAAAAATACATATAGTATTATTCAAATAATATCACTTTAGTTAATCATGATCTTATGTTGAAACTCATTGCACGTGAAACTGAAAAAAGAAACTGAAACCGGCATAAGTCATCTTTCAGTGAAGTCCATACCGCACAATTCACTATTCGTGACACAATAAAATACATTTTTCACAAACGCTAAAAATTGTGCATATATATACATGTAACTTCTATCTATTACAGTCTTATTACAAAACTATGTTCAACCCGAAACATTCTACATTACTCATTTCCAAATAGTTCCAGCAATATTAAAATGATATCATTTAAATTATTAGCAATTCATAAGATTCAATCAGTATTATCGCAACGCGTTTTGCTAGCTTTTCATAGTACTCCGCTATGCAATAACACACACCACTATTTTAAAGATATCTATATGTTCTATATTAGATTCTTTTAAATTTTTTTGGAACTCCGCATAGAATATTATATTTTGTGTATGATTTCTTCTTTAAGATTATTTGGAACAAGTATAACAGAGTCAAAGCCATCTGATGAAGACCCTTTAGTAAGGTTGAAATCTGGATTATGGCATGCAGGTTACATCCACATGCACATGCACATCTTAGCCATGCTAATTTCTGTAAGTAGACCATTCGGATAAGAACGAGACATAATGACATGAACAATAGAGCGCAAAAAAGGACACAGATAAAATATTTAAAAGAAAACATGACAGAAGAATCGATTTCAGCGTTTCAAACCAACATTCACAAGCGACTAAAAAGCAGAGACATATATTGTTCGTTTTTCTTCCACGTTATATTTACTTGTACCATAGGTACCATTTTATAAATGCTGCAACTACACAACATTTTATTCATTATGGATGATCATTCGCATTTGGTTTCATTTTTTATGTGTGTTAATATATACTGCGTGAAATATTTCATTAATCTTCAGTCCGGAATAGGCTGAAAATTTTTTAGAAGTCGTCTTATTGTCGTTTTCATGACGGTCGAGAATTACTCGAATATCTGGCCCATCTAATTTTATATTAACTGACGTAAATGTACCTAAAATTGAACTTGAAAAGTTTTTGACTTCGTTGATTCACTGCACATATCAAGTCAAAAAAAAAAGTATATTATGAGCTGGGTCAATATGCCCTGGAGAGTGTATTGTAGCATTCTAAAACATCTATTGATTGTCGTTTAAAACGTAGTAGTATGATACGTCTCTTTTTGATCTATTTCATTTATGAGTAATAGTGCTTTTGATAAGAGCACTTGATATGACTCGTATTGATATTTTGATAACTTAAAGTAAATATTATTTTTAATCTCGTGCACAGCAATATCAGTGGAGAACAAAATAATTCAGACGCCATCACGTACGTCAGCATCAGCGTAAGTATGAGTGTCGCTAGGGATATTTATTACAATCAAACACTCACATTCCAACGTGCACCCAGAACAGTATAGATTATTTTCCAAATGTAGGTTGTTCATCTTGCTCAATAGAATCCATTTATTCGCAAAGTACAGGTGCTGAAAAACTAAGGTTTTCAGTTTTTTACAAATCCTTCGCGATCATTGTGTGTGTTACCTATCGTCTCTATCTCACCTAGTGCTTTTGAAACTTTTGCAACGCATTTAATTCACCAGTGAAAAATTTCGTCGATTCATACTATACAACAGATCCTTGCGTTATGCGTTGCTCATAGGTATGAAAAGAGTTAAACAAAGCAAAATTCTAATTGTGTTTATTTTCTCAAAGCTATGGATTTTATAAGCCGTTGATCTCGAGGATAGAACAACGAAAAATTCTTTCTTACCAATTAGTCAGCCCATGATCTTCTATACAACAAAATGTTCTGGGGTTTTTAATTCAATGTTTCGTTTATTTTTTACAGCCGTTCCGCAAACAGCCACCCCAATCTTCAAGAGAGGGTTAAGAATTAATTTTATGAAATCCGAATAAATCTCAAGCTTTGTTTCATTCATCTGACAATGTGAATATAGAACGTTGTATTTGGAATGAAGACGAATGCTGTCCAATTTGAATATATGCGCCGCATCAATCACCTATCACCGACGACAACAACGCGCATATGGACATAGTAAATCTGATGCAACACGATTTTCAATCCGAATCAATTTTTAAAACTGAACATAGTATTTTGAAGGTTCGCGAAGGTACAGAGATGGATTAGGAGTAGATCGAAACCTACACATACGCATGCACACCCTCAACATGGTTTAAGAGAGTTGCCATCATTTTATAGACGATCCAACTTGTATGCATGAAAATATCTCTTTTTTTCTCTATTGAAAGTATTTAGAATCATTTACATGAGATATTCGACCTGATATATCAAAAGAGTTGAACTTTTTGTTCAAACATTTTCATCTACCTATCTGCCGAAGAATATTCGGTTAGAATAAGGCAAATAGACAAAGATGACATTTTTCATAAGTTGATCTGAAGGTTATTTTATGTAATTTCAAAGCATCTCATGTGCTTAGCATTGTCAAAAACGTTCATTGTCTTGTCAAACTCAATAATATATTGATATAAAATAAGTTATGAATTCACTTAGGTATACCTATCAACCGGGCTTCGGTTTTTCATTTTCAACTAAAGCATTCATACTTGAACTCTATTGCAAAGGCAAGATTTCTCAAGCTAATCAGAGACTTCGATTTGTGGCAGAAGAATGTGAGTACATGAATCCATATGTATCAACACGATAATGAACTTGTCTTTTTCATTTAGGTCACGCACTCACACCGAAAACTCTTCGAATATCTTGATCGACAATATGTTCAATGTCATGGGCAATGAACATGCTTTTAAAGTGTTTGAGCATCATGGAGATTGTTTAGGTTGTGCACCACGAACAACTATAGCGCTTACTGATAGCCGATTGATAGTTCGTCGACAGGATCCAGACTGTCTGTGTATTAGAGGTCCTAGTAGTGATACAACGTTCTTCTTACAAGATATCGACATGTTACGTAACAGTAAACAATCATGCACGATATTCAGCACACTTATTAGTATACTGACCTTTACATGGCCATATCTGTTGTGTGACTGTCTTTGTGGACCGAAAAGGATTGAAATTCGAGGTGCATTTGGTTCAGAGACCATGATCTTCGACTTTGATCAAGTACATGACGCAGCAATGCAAATTACCGCATCGATTCGTAATGCGAAGGCTAAA